ATTGATCATTTAGTTCTATCCATATGTCTATGTATACTAGAATTGATGTTCATGTCTTTGCCTTTAGATTTAATGAAATTGATGCATGTCTATGTGTGTTGATGTTGTTAATCTAGAAATGATAAAGGCATGGTGCTTAATTGAACACTCTTATGGTTTATTTGATGGTTCATACTTATTTCTTGATGGATTGTGCCACACCTTTAGTTTAATTAGTTTAATTTTCATGTCTCTACCTTAGTTATAGTGTAATTGCTTTAATTTCCTAGGTAAGTGGACAATCCATTCTTATTGTTTGATGTTCCATACTTATGAATGCAAAGAGTACATTTCTCTATATAGTTGTGTGTGCACTAATTGTGGTTTAACTGAATGGTTAATGGTCTTATTTGATAGTTTGTGCTACTCATTAGATTGATTAAACAATCTATACTTATTTGTCATCCATCATGCTTTGTTTTCAATTAGTGGCACACACACACAAGTTACAACTTAAATTTCCCCATTAATTTAATTGCTATTGTTTGGTGAAGTGAAACTTAGTGGTGAACTCTGAGTCCCAAGACCTCTCTCTCATATATCTTTCCCTAATTTCTAGATTATTTATTACTTGCATTGTTTTAATTGAATATTATTTTAATTAACCAATCAAATCATCTTTTGATCATTCGGCCTACTAATCCAACATTGATTTCCAAGCAAAAATACACTTCCTTTCCCTTGGGACGATCCATACTTACTCTAGCTACATTAATAGTTAGTAGTGGTAGTGGTAGTGGCATTCTATAAATTTAAACTTGGCCACACTACACACATTTTGTGCTTCAGTATTGACCACACTAGGTTTCCTCACTAAAATCCTGATGTTATCTCTCTAAATCTACTTGTTTTACTTTTCAATATTTATATTTGTGATTATGGATGTTTAATTTATCATATTGCTTAGGTAATTTAATCAATCACAAAAATTAGGCAAGTTAACCTATTAATCTCATCTAGGTCATTAAAGGAGTTAATCACAATTAAATCAACTAATAGCTTCTGCAACCCGCGTAATACTCACACAATATGTAACGACCCAACCATCGTCAATAACGTAAGCATTCGAAAGAGTTCATTTTCATCCCATTCATTCAAGAGTAGCAATAAAAGTTCTTACATGATTTAATGACAATTTACAAAATAGTCTAAAGTTACATAAAAAATACTACAAAGGATTGTAGCTACAATTACAAAGCCATAAGTTACAAGTTTAAACATCTCATGTTAATGCTTTACAAAAATATGGGATTCAATTACAAAAGATAATAAAATGATCTTCTAATCCCGCCTAAGCTTGTGGTGGAACATCATCCGCCACTTCTAGAACTTATCTGTTTATCTATCCCAAATCGTTAATGCAACCCAGCCCATAGCAGCTCCATGGCGCCACTAAAGAAGGGCTAATTAGTTATCCCTGACCACATGGCAACTCCAAGGTGTCATTTGGGGTCTAGGTAGCTCAACCATGCTAAGGTCCCTTCCTAGTTCCTTCTAGATCACATTAACACCATTGATCACTAGGCAACTCCTAGGCACTCGAGTTTTCGCAAATCATTTTTCAAAACCTTTCCCAAAACAATTTTTATTTCTTTTCAAATCAAATTTTCCCATTTATTTCCCAATGCCATCCATGAATGCTTCATACTTCTCAATGCCAATAACAAGTTTTCATACATTGTCACCACATCATGCTTACATAATTGAAAGACAATTTACACATTAAACTTCACATTCATAGCATATAGGCACATTAGGCATGTAATACTTTAAATCTAGCATACTTTTTCATAATAATTTAAGTAGGCATGCTTATCAACCTAACTATCATATAAAACATATAACTACCACATTTGATACATATATACCTTTATAACCGCAAACAAGTTTATACAATTTAAGCATGCTAAGGCCAAATTATAAGAAGTTAACTCATTGAAATCAAAGAATATGTGTATTAGAGACCCCTACCTCAAGAAAGTAGCAAAAGCCCCAAATTATGCCTAAAACCCGAAATCCAAAGGTGCTCCAAATGGAACTTTGCTCCAATCAAATCGAAACTCTTGTTGTACTCGTTGACTTTGCCTTTAGTGGTAAAGTCAAAATCTCAATGGAAAGGCTTGGATCTAGCCTTAAAAATGGAAGGAAAAAAAAATGATGCATAGAGGGGGAGAAAATGGCGCAGAAGGAGAATAAGAAATGGTTAGTAAATGATCACAAAGTCATTTGTAATGACAAACATTGGTAGGTCCCATGGAAACAAAATATCTCCCTTTTTGTCGTTATACACACACACACTAAACACACCATAACACATGTCTAAACACATAGTCACATAAATATACATCAAATAAATATGTATGAAATGCAATGGCACCAAAAAATGATCCCGTGCACAACAATTCCGGTTGCGGATCTTGATCCGAAAAACTAAAAAATGCCGAAATGGCTAATGATGCATTTCTAAGAGTCATGAACTTAAAGAAATGCCCAAACTGACTCTTGGAACCTATCCGGCACACCCCCACGGTGTTCGGCACGTAAAACAAGGCAAAACGAAATAATCCCAAAAAAAAGTCAAAAAATCCCAGAAAATGGAAAAATGAAAAAATGAGAAATACTACACGATATCCCCTGGGTTTTGTGCTTGGACTTGATCAACCCACGACCAGGAAATCAGTGGGTATCATAGTCGGTATCAGAGCACTTCAAATTTAAGTGTCTCTAGGGTTCTTTCGTTTTAAGACGTCCGCGTTATGTATTCTTTTACTTAGAGCTTAAGTTTAGGATTCGTTGTATTCCTTTACGGTCCGTTATGATCGTATTGACATATATCTTTTTATGTTAACAGAATGGTTAACGCAGGAAGAAGACGGGAGTGGCAGTAGAGGAGGGCGACCCGTAGACATCAGAACCGTCTACGACGTCAGCAGGTTACAGAGAAGCAATAATTGCTTTTGTTTTAGAAGGAGAACCAAGAGCATCAGGAACTTTAAGATCAGGGCCATAACCAGGGCAGGGATTCAGAGTATCCTCCTCAAATGGTTGATATTATCGCACAGGTACTAGCTGAAGGTGTATCAGCTATACTTCAGAATCAACCACTTATTCAACAGGCACCTGTATCTATACCAGTGGTTCATCCTAACACTTGGGATAAGGTTAGGAGTACTTTCACAAAGGGGAATCCACCATAGTTCTTGGGCTCCACCAATGTGAAGGCAACACACCAGTGGAAGAAGAACATAGAGCGTCATTTTCACATGGTCGAGGGGACTGATGTCCAGAGGCAGATACTTGCTATGTTTAGGCTTGTAGGAGATGCTCTTCAGTGATTGGAGTCTGTTACCATTATAGAGGAGAGGACTTTATTGACATACGATCAGTTTTAGGCTCGCTTCGACGAGAAGTATTTTCCTTATGCAGTCAGAACTGCAAAGAAGAAAAAGTTCCTCAATTTACAACAAAGGGATAGTACTGTGGCAGAGTATGAGCAGTTGTTTACTAGCTTATCTTTTTTTCCTCCAGAGGAGGTGGATACCGAGGAGGAGAATCGCATTTGTTTTAAAGGGAGTTCTCTACATCATTGTGATCATCATACAGAGGAGTTTGAGGTTGAGACGAGAGGAGAAACATATAGAAGAAAGAAGGGATCGATCCATGATGGTGAAGATGTCTTCCTCAACCATGAAGAAGTCTATCTAGTCATGAGCGGCTAAAAGCTTTGCTAAGGCTGTGATGTAGCCCTAGCTTAGCACCACTGGTTTGATTGTATTTATTTATTGGAGAACAATTATTTTCAGGCATGATTGTGTAACCTAGTGGATTTTTACTTGACTTTTCAATAGAAATCGGTTTTAAAATTTTAATTCAATTACAAAGTACTATTTTTTATCTTGTATTAGATAATTGAACACAACTCATTTCCTTCTTATAGTTGCGAATAAGATGGTTATGCAATGGTTTTTCACCGAATATAATATTAGAGATTTAATGGATTATGCCTAGAGAAGATAGACTATACTACACCCTAGAGTAGAGTAGTTAGGTAGATGGTTTATGCTAATCGAAGATAGTCCATGCTTAGCTTTAATTTATAGTATCTTCTAACTGGATTAATATGTGTTTGTAGCCATGATTAATTCCTTATGCATGTTTATATATATATATATATATATATATATATATATATATATATATATCCAATAAATTGATGTAATTGATTGGTGGTGCGACGTTAGTGGTGAAATCATGTCCCTAGCCTCTTCTCTCTTATTTTATTCATCTAATTCAATTATTATTTTTATTTTATTTTATTTTATACTTAGTTCATTAGATTAAAATCATCAAAACTTGTTTGTCCTATTTCAAGTTAATTGAGAATTTAAGAAATCTATTCACAACTTCATTAATACAAGTCTCTTAGATACGACACTCTTACAAGGAAGTCCAACGAGTGGTTACATATAAAGTTTTACAACAGATTGTCAACATTGATATTATTGTGAAGAAGAAGGATTTAAAATTGACCAATTCACCCCTGTTGGTCCAACAGCCCCTAACCTTCCCTCTTCATTATTTGAATCCACCATTACCAACCCATTCACCTTCGCCTAACTCACCTTCTGTTTCACCAACAAATTTTTTGTATTGTTGATGTTCCCGCCAAGTTGAAGGTTATATATGTGCATTGGTTTCGGCCTCATCTTTTGGACCCAATGATTCCTTTTCAGTAAATTATCTTTGTTGAGTTTGAATTATGGGGAGATCTTTTTTACTTACTAGCAGTCTCTTGATCGTAGAGCCAGCCAAACTTGACTATTAGGGATAGTTTTTCTAGATTTTACGTTCTACGCAGACTTCTCTTTGGAAATTGGAATTAATTTTGATATGTATATATACCAATTAATTGTTATCTAGCCAATGCATAATCTTGACCAGGAAAACCACACAATCGCCAAACAAACTAACATCTTGAATTCATGAAATTCACAGAGGTCTCTAAAACAAGAGAAATTGATTTTTTTTTTTTTTTTTGGGTAATTAAAAAAAACAAACCGAGAGAATTAGCAAAGCCATATGCATAAATTCAGTTGTATGTGCAGTGAACTTGTCTATTGCTAATTGCTTACATATGAACAAGAAACTTTCTTGATCAATGTGTTTTTCCCTTCCCCTTCAATCTAGACCACTTGAGTAGTACCAGATGACTTGTGGTGCATTGTGTCATCGGAATAGAGTCCATGCTTGGTTGAATCGTACTTCTCCCCATCACCCCATAGTGCATATGCCTCTTCACCATGCACGGCGTCATCCCCAATCTTCAACTGCTCTTCAGACATTCTCAAAGGCATCACCAGACTTATAACAAAGCAAATGATTGATGTAACCACAAGGTTCCATCCGATGATAAAACCGCCGCCAACAATCTGTTTGAGGAATTGAATGCCACCGGAACCTCCATAAACTCCGCCCCTGGAATTGGAAACCGGCAAGAAGAGAGCACACAATGTGGGCTCGGCAAACAGTCCCGTTAGAATGCCACCAAGATAACCAGCCACGGCATGGGTGTGACACACACCCAGTGTGTCATCAATCTTCTGGAGCAAACTCCATCTCTTGTGAATGATCATCATAGTGAACCATGGAACACTTCCTGACAGAATCCCCATCACTATTGCCGCCCATCCTTGAACAAGACCTACATGTATTTCACACACATATTATGAGTAATGATATTTAGATCTATTTGTATAATTGATGGGTTTTTATTCATCATCATTTTCATTAAGATATAGCATTTCACATGCAATCTTTTTCCAATCACAATATTATTTTTACGTCATATTATTATTAGTTTTAAATTGACATTATAGTCTTAAAGAAGGATAAATTATTTATTAGATGGTCTTGAAATAGAGAGAATTATTTACTATCACATAAATAAATGTGTGTGAACTTGATTTATTTTTTTGCTTGACCAATAATTCCCAGATTATAGAGTAACTTTTCATTAGAGAATTAGAGAAAGACGAGAGAAATCAGATCCATAAAGGTTCCTTACATCAGCAATATGCATGTGATATGCTTGTGCACTTTACCCCTTTAACCGATCACAACAAGGTCATTGTCATGTTTCTCGTGTGTTGAAAAATTATTCAATTTGGGGGATAGAATTTATATGTAGAAAAAAATAAAAATTTAGTTTTAAGATCTTCAAATAAATAAATAAATAGAGAATTAAGTGTTGAGATTTTATTTCTTATAGTACAGTTGTAGGATTGAATTATTTACTCCTTGATTTAAGGTTAATTGGTAGGTAATTAGTTACCTATCTTAGCTAAATCCTATTCTATAAATTGGATGTAACACCATCAATGAAAGTATCGAATAGAGTTTTAATTCTCATATTCTTTATCTGAATTTCAAGATGGTATCAGAGCCATCTTGAACTGTACCTTTGAATTTCTTTGAATTTATCTTTGAAATTCACAGACCCATACCTATACACATACATTCACCATACCTATACACAGACCCATACCTGCTGATATCACAAGCCACAGCCCCATACCCATTGCTATCACAAGCCACCGTCCATAGCCGTCGCCGGACCTTCTTCGTTGTCCATCGTCGTAGCCGAATTTGCAGCCCTCGACTACCGAACCGTCGCCCTAGCCGTCGTTATCTCCACGGCCATCATTGTGATGACCTTGTGGGCGGGTGTGCCGTGGGCGGGTGCGAGAGACACTGTCAGGATACCACACTGGTGAGCTATAGGTGCACAGTCCCACATCGCCTGGGTAGAGGAAATGTGAAGTGCTTATATGTAAGTGTGTCACCTCCAATTGGTATGAGGCCTTTTGGGGTGAAACCCAAGAGCAAAACCGTGCGGGCTCAAGCCCAAAGCGGACAATATCATACCATGTGGTGGAGTGAGTCGTTACAATGGTATCAGAGCCTGACCCAGCCGGAAGTGTGCCGACGAGGACGTCGGGCCTCCAAGGGGGGTGGATTGTGATGACCTTATGGGCGGGTGTGCCGTGGGCGGGTGCGAGAGACACTGTCAGGCTACCACACTGGTGAGCTATAGGTGCACAGTCCCACATCGCCTGGGTAGAGGAAAGGTGAAGTGCTTATATGTAAGTGTGTCACCTCCAATTGGTATGAGGCCTTTTGGGGTGAAGCCCAAGAGCAAAACCATGTCGGCTCAGGCCCAAAGCGGACAATATCATATTATGTGGTGGAGTGGGTCGTTACAATCATCTTTTTGCAAGGAGAAGCTAGCCATCCCTGTTACCGTCGGCGCCGAATCAATTGCCTTTGTTGCTCCCACCACCGATCAGATCATCTAGCCACCACCGAAGCCGATCCCTGCCATCTACCGCAAAGCCGATCTCTGCCATACGCTACCGCGAGCTCTCCATCCCCAAGCTAATTTCAAAACTAAACCAATTTTGTAAACTCATTTGAAAACTGGTTCTGTGATAAACCAGTTCAAAAAATAAAAAATAAAAAAAAAGAGGGAAAAAAATATTGAATCATCTAGAGCAGACAAGTCTACCTACAAATGCACTCATTGCAACCAGATTGGTCATACCAAAAGTCGCTGTTTTAAACTAGTGGGATATCCAGAATGGTGGGATAATCGCCATTGGAAGAAGAATTCAACAAAGATCTCCACTACAGCAGTTGTTAAGACAACAGATAATGGTGGTAAGATTTTCAATATTTCTACACATGTTGCTAATGACGCATTGATAATTGATTCTAGTGTCGCATATCATATGACATTTGATTCTAAACAGGTCTCACCTCTTAATTCATCCTCACACAAATTTGTTTCTACTGCCAATGAGACTTCGACCTTAGTTATTGGGAAAGGATCTTTAACACTCACTGATAATCCGCATTTAGATTCTGTTTTAGTTGTTCCATCTTTAGATTCTAATCTTTTGTCAGTTTCCCAAATAACAACAGCTTTATCTTGTATTGTCATTTTTTGGCTTGATTTTTGTGTGTTTAAGTACATCCAAACAAAGCAGACGATTAGTTGTGGTATTAGGCGAGGGAAACTGTATTACTTGGACTTGATGTCCAAAAGTTTCGATAAGCTACTACAAGCATTGACAGTGGATAGTTAAAAAGAAATCTGAAATCTGGTTGTGGCATCGACGTCTGCGGCATACTTCCTTTGGTTATTTGAAAAAATTATTTCTTAATTTGTTTGCAAAATTTGATATTTCTAGTTTCCGTTGTGATGTTTGTGAACTAGCAAAGAGCCACCGTATTTCATATCCATTATGTTTGCATCAAAGTCCACTTCTTTTTATGATTATACATTATGATGTTTGGGGTCCGTTCAAAGTCCCTACTTTAGGTGGATCCTGTTGGTTACTTTACTTTTATAGGAGGTAATCTTGTTACATGCATGGAGAGGCAAGAAACAAAATGTTGTTACTCGCTCGAGTGCAGAAGCTAAATTCAGAGGTATGGCGCTTGCACTTTGTGAAACATTGTGGTTAAGACTTATCTTGCGGGATTTGGGTTATCTACCTAGGCAACCTAATCGACTATATTGTGATAATAAAACAGCATGTAATATTACCCATAATTCAGTTCAACATGATCATATGAAGCATGTCGAAATAGACAGATTCTTCATGAAGGAGAAGTTGGATGGGAAAATTGTACAGTTGTTTAAGATTCGATCTGAAGATCAACTAGCCGACGTTCTTACCAAAGCAGTCTCAAATCAAGTGTTTTCAAAATTTTTAGACAAGTTGGGCATGTGTGACTTCTATGCACCAGCTTGAGAGAGAGTGTTGAGATTTTATCTCTTATAGTACAGTTATATGATTGAATTATTTAATCTTTAATTTAAGACTAATTAATAGATAATTAGTTACCTATTTTAACTAAATTATATTTTATAAATTAGATATAACATCATCAATAAAAATTATAGAATAGAGCTTTAATTCTTATTCTCTTTCTTTGAATTTTAAGATTAAGTTGAGAGTATCTCCTCATCCACCGAGCCTACAGCTATGATATCAATTTCAAGGGCCGTTCTTTTCACAAAAGAGTTCCTCTCAACCCAAATTCTCTATAAGACAAAAAGCAGCAAAATGCAAGTAAAATAAATTTCTCTTATCTTATTTTCTTATAATTGGCTAGAATCTTCTCTTTGTCAGAGTTATTATTACATGTTAGCGTCATTTCCTCTATGAAGCCAAAAATAGATCCCCTACGTAGGGCATTGACTGTGGCTTGCTCAAAAAAGTCCAACAAAAAACAAAACACTCATCTTTTACGGACATAAGTCTAAAACATAACATAATTTACCCATTTTAAAATGTAGAAAAAAAAAAAAATTTATTGATGAAAATAATATTTTATGTTCATTGACTTTAACGTCTTTGATATTATTGAAGTAGTAAATTAGCTGAGAGAGAATTATACAGGGAAGAAAGGAGGAATAGACGACGGACCTGCACCAGGGGTGATGCAAACAAGGCCGGTGATCATGCCCTGAACGGCTCCGATGACGGAAGGCTTGCCGAAGAAGATGACATCAAGCCACGTCCACATCAACAGGCTTGTGGCAGCGCATATATTTGTGTTGAGGACCGCCATGGAGGAGTCTATGTTGGCACTGTATGGATCTCCACCGTTGAAACCCGCCCATCCCATCCACAACAACCCCGCTCCAGCCAGCATCAGCAGCACGTTGTTCGGAGGAAACCTCTCTCTGTCATTCGTCGATCTCGGACCCACCTGCTTCCACCCATCCACACACACACACACACATATATATATATATCACTTCAATTACGACTTAGACAGGCACATAAAATTAAACACAGACGCTACTTCAAAATTTAAATTTATAAAATGACTAACTACTTAATTAATTATGTATATATAGAGTATATTGACTTTGCTGTTTAAGATTAACCAGACCAAATTCATTGTATTTTTGCCCTTTAGATGGAAAAGTGTTTGTAACCACCAAAAATGTCTCTGAGCCTCTGGATTAAGCGATCTTAATTAAATAATAATGATTTGGAGTTGTTAAGTAACCGTCTGGATGATATCAGTTCTGATGCCAGTTGTCACAGACTCCGTATTATTACTCTTAATTAAAAATCACTAATTTTATTTTTATTTTATAGTATAGCATATAGGTTGTACTGACCCAGTATGCAGCGGTGAATCCGGCTATCCCGGAAGAAAGATGAATGACGTAACCACCGGAGTAGTCTATGACACCCCAGTGAAACAAGAAGCCACCACCCCAAAGGCTAAAAGCCCCCACAGTGTAGGAGAAAGTAAGCCAGAGAGGCACAAACATCATCCAAGCCTTTATGTTCATCCTCCCAAGCACTGAACCACCCAACAGTATGACGGTGATGGCAGCGAACACGCACTGAAACCACACCATGGACGCCATGGGATAGAAGGGAGTGGCCATGGCGGTTTCCAGCGACCCATCGGAATGGTACTGCGTGGTCTCCGGCAGCACCGCCTGCTTGATAAGGAACTTCTGACCCAAAGCCGGTCCTGCCTTACCCCAGCAGGGAAGGAGCTTGTCCCCAAAAGACATCTTGTAGGCCCAGATGACCCAGCATATGATCACGGCCGCGAAGGCGTAGAGTGCCATGAAAGCCGAATTCACTGCCCATTTCTTCTTCACTATGCTGCCGTACAGAATGACCAGCCCCGGAACGCTTTGGAGACCAACCAGCGTTGCGGATATCATTTGCCATGCGTTGTCACCTTTGTTCAACCAGTCCGGCACCGCCGCCGACGTGTTCCCTTGGTAAGCCACCGGCACCACCATCGTACCCATCTCTCGTGGCTGATGGATGGATTGTTTGTTTTTTTGTGCACGTACCAAGTAGGGTTAGAGGTCGTTGCAATGGGATGGATATTATCCTAGATTTTTTTTTGAATCTAGAATCTTACCAAGTTGGTGTGGTTCTCAAATATAATGACACTCGGATGAGAGAGAGAGAAGAGAGAGAGAGGGAATACCCCCAAATTGCCGACTTATTTGTTGTATACAGTTGTACTATTATGCAAATTAATCATCGTTTTACACTTTCATTCTTAATTTACATATGAGGGAATACACTACCTGCCTAATGATTTCAATTATTTAATCTAAGACAATTTTTTATCTTTATTTAACGGAGAGTTGGAAAGGAAAGTAAACGATTAAAAAGCTGTGTAGTCCCACACCTGCGTTTGTCTATTCATACACCTACCAAAGCCACACGGACATCACAGGTTCAGTGGAAATAAATAAGCAAAATATTAAGTTGGCGTATTCAATGTAACTTGTCCGGGGATTTTTCGGGAACTAATAAATTCATTGTATTACGTGAAATCGAGCATTAGCAATTGCATAAGATATTAATACACTAAAATTTAATGAATTTGGCTGTGGCATAACTAATAAATGACTTAATTGCACTTAATTCTCCCCTATTCTCATTTTATGGCACAAATCTATTACAAATTATTCTCTTGAACTAAAATTTATTATTGTACATACAAATTTTGTAAGTTTACAAATAGAAACAAAATATGGAGCAAATAGTAATTTATTAATTTGGAAAATTTGAATACAATCCTTTATAATCTCTTTTACAAAAAAAGAATGGTCCTTTGATTCGATCTCCTTTTTGTTGTTGGTTGGATTCAAAGGCTGCACGAACTTGTTCTTGAATCACTGTGGAATTTGATGAGGAACGGCACGTCGTTGGATGTGCTTGTTGTTGATCATCGTGGAATTTGATGAAGAACGGCACGTCTTTGGATGTGCTTGATGTTCTTCACTTTTGGGTTTGGATTTTGAATTTGTGCCTCTGACTTATGAGTCTCTGGATTTCTGAATCTCTGGATTTCTGAACTTCTGAATTATGAATTTGTGTATTTTGTTTCTGGACTTCTGAATTCTGAATTTGTGTCTAAATTTCTGAACTTCTGAATTCTGAACTTGTGTCCTTTGTTGAATTTGAGGAAGAACGGCACATCTTTGGATGTGCTTGTTGTTCATCGTCTTCAGAGAGGAGAGAATTTGTTGAATTTGGTAAAGAACGGCACTACTTTGGATGTGTTTGGTATTCTTCGCCTTCAGGCTTGCCCTCGGGATTTCTGACCCCCTGGATTTCTGATTCTCTCAATTTCTGGACCTTCTGGATTCCTAAGTCTCTGGATTTCTAAGTCTCTGGATTTCTGGACTCTGAATTTTTGTACCCCTTCTTTCTTCCTCCAGGCCTTTATTTATAGGCTTTTTGGATCTATAGGATGATGACATGTGTTATCTTCTAATAAGGATAAAATAATAACTGGGCCGAGCCGATTGTATTAAAATTAATTATTCCAAATATATTTTATTAGGAATAATTATCTTTTCATTTAATCATCTAGGTTGGGTTAAGTAAATAATTTAAGTGGACCAAGTCTAGACCAATTAAATAACTTAATTAAACATTAGGCCCAAATTTAATGGATCCATTTGTTAAAACCAAAGCCCACTAAATTTTAGTGTCTACAAATTGCCCCCACTTCGAGCCCCAAGTTTGATAGGATTTGTCTCCTTTCTCAAGTGGGACTTGAAGCATCTAAGTTTCCTTCCTAGTGTTTTTTTTTTTTTTTTTTTTTTTTTTTTTTTTTTTTTTGGCTTTTCTATCCGGATTGGAATTTTACTTTCCTATTTGAATTGAATTATACAAATCCAAGAACAAACAGGAGATATTTGGTTGCCTACATATACCACTAATATTATAGGGTTTGACATCAATTTTAAGAGCCTCTGAAGACTTGTCAGCTTGCAAATTCTGAAAAGTGTGTTAGATTGTAGCCTCTACTTGAATACACAAATAATTGGTATATCTTTCTTTTTTTTTTTTTTTTTTTTTTTTTTTTTTTTTTTTCACGCTTCCAGAACGCAACTAGTCCATAAGGACCCTTTGTTCATTTGGAACGCAACTAGTCCGTAAGGTCCCATTGTTCCTTTGGAACAAAAAAAATAATAATAACAAACTCTGGGAGGTCATGCCACCAGCATAGACAGTGTCGACAGCAGCTATGAATCAATCCAGAGAGTAATGACAGATGCAGACTTCATTAGCCACAAATCAGACATCAACCATTCAGAGATCAGCAGCCATTGGTAGAGCGAGACTAGACTCTGAGAGGTTATGCGACCAACACAGACAATGTCGTCAGTAGCCATGAATCAATCCAGAGAGTAACGACAGATGCAGACTTCATTAGCCATAGATTAGACATCAACCATTTAGAGAGTAATAACAAACTCCAAGAGTTCAACCACCAGCATTGTTAGCCATCACCAGAACATCTTCATCAACCATGGATCAGACAGCAATGAATTTTCCTTGACGTAGTGCCTCAATGGAAAACTAGATTTCTCTTTCAACAACCCCCCAGTGGTGAGCATAATTATTTTATTTTATTTTTTCAGCAACACCTCGGTGGCGAGCATAATTTTTTCTTTTAACGACACCTCGATGGTGAGTCAAAATTTTGTTGCAGCAACACCATGGCGATGAATCAGATTCTTCAGCGACGCCTTCGTGCCAAGTCAAAATTGTCTTTCAACAACACTTCAATGGCAAGCAGAATTTTTTTTTTTTTTTTTTTTTTTTTCACGACACCTCAGCGGATAGCGAAATTCTCTTTCAGAAATACCTCGGCGGTGAGGAAATTTTTTTCCTTCAACGACACCTCAACGGAAAGCAAAATTTCTCTTTTAGCAATACCTTGGCGGTGAGTAGAGTTGTTTTCTTCAACGACACCTCAGTGGTAGCCAAATTTTTTAGAAATACCTTGGCGTTGAGCAGAATTTTCCTAGGCAACTACAGTTTGGCGACGAACCAATTTATTTCTTCGCAGCTATACTTTGTAGATGGATCAATTTTTCCTTTGCAACTATAATTCGGTGACGAATCAAAATTATTGTTTGGAGCTACACTTTGGCGGCAGATCTAATTTCTTTCTTGCAGCTATAGTTTGGTGACAGACCAAAATTTCTTTTACATCTACAATTCGGTGACGTGCCAAGTTGACAGGGTGCGACGAGCACTTTTGATATCGCATGATGAGTGACAACATCTTGATAGCGAGCCAAGTTGAAAATTTGTGACGAGGGCTTTTGATATTATGTGACGAGCACACTTTGCCATTTTGCAACTCTAAGGAGTTTTGTTTTTTTTTTTTTTTTTTGGACGAACTGAACTTAGAATAAAATCCTAAGCTGCCTACGTACTCTCAAAAGAGAAAGGGATCAAGTCATCACATAATTCAATAAAGACACATTTTTTTTCTAAAACAGTTTATACTCGTGTCAATGAGTGTCATTTTTTTTGTTTTTGTTTCAGGTAGACAGTTTAAGCTCGTATCAAGGAGTGTCAGTTTTTTTTTTCTTCAGGTAGACAGTTTAAACTCGTGTCAAGGAGTGTCATTTTTTTTTTTTTTAAGTTGACAGTTTATACTCGTGTCAGGGAGTATCATCAAAATTTTGTTTTAGACAAATAGTTTATACTCGTGTCAAGGAGTGTCATTTTTTTCTTTTCAGGTAGACAATTTAAACTCATATCAAGGAGTTTTTGATTTTTTTTTCTTCAAGTAGACAGTTTAAACTCGTGTTAAGGAGTTCTTGAATTTTTTTTTTTTTTTAGGTATACATTTTAACTCATATTAAGGAGTTCTTGATTTTTTTTCAAGTATACATTTAAACTTATATTAAGGAGTTCTTGATTTTTTTTTTTCCAAGCAGACAGTTTATACTCGTGCCAAGGAGTGTCAAATTTTATTTTATTTTATTTTTTATATATATATATATTTTGGAGAGAGTTTAAACTCGTATCAAGGAGTTCTTGACTTTTTTTCAGGTAGACAATTTAAACTCGTGTCAAGGAGTGTCATTTTTTTTTTTTTTTTAGGAGACAGTTTAAACTCGTATCAAGGAGTTCTTGAATTTTTTTCAGGTAAACAGTTTAAACTCGTGTCAAGGAGTTCTTAATTTTTCTTTTTTCAAGTTAACAGTTTAGGCTCGTATCTGGGAGCATCATCGATAGTTTAGGCTCGTATCTGGGAGCATCATCGACTTTAATTATTTTCTTTAACTTTGCAAGAATCAGACGTCAGTCTAAGCTTATACTGGACGGCACAGACTATCTCGTCGTCACTTTGAGAATTTTCTTCTTGGTTTCCTTGACTTAATGCCCCCTGTGATTTTGCACTTTCGGTTGAAGTCATTGTTATAGCATGGTGTATTTCTTGACGCAAGTCTCTTGAGTTGATGCTTATAATAAAAGATGATGCTACTTCATCGTCTGAGTTAAGAAGTATATTGTCTTCTGACTCACTTCCCTCATCTTCTTGAAGGTTGTCGGGTATATCTGGAACATCTTTCCTAGCACCATGATTTTCCATGCTAAGCTCCATGTCGTGGGCTCGAGTAACAAGCTCTTCAAATGTGCGAGGCTTAATCCCTTGTAGGATATAAAGAAGCTCCCAGTGCATGCCTTGCATACATACTTCAACTGTAGAAATTTCAGATAAACGATCCTTGCAGTCAAGACTTAGAGCTCGCCAACGGTTGATGTAGTTAACCACGGGTTCACCCTTCATCTGTTTTGTATTTGTAAACTCCAGCATACTTACAATACGATGAGTGCTGTAGAAACGGTTGAGAAATTCTCGTTCTATCTGCTCCCAACTGTCAATACTTCTAGCTTTGAGGTCTGTGTACCAATTAAATGTATTCCCTTTGAGGGAACGAACGAATTGCTTGACAAGGAGATCTCCGTCTGTACCAGCATTGCCGCAAGTTTCTATAAAGTGCGCGACATGTTGCTTGGGATTTCCTTTTCTGTCAAACTGTTGAAGCTTTGGAGGTTGATACCCAACTGACATTTTTAAGATGTCAATTCTTTCTGTGTAAGGCTTTGAGTACATGCGA